CTCACGCGTTAGATTCAAATAAGAACAACTTCTTTAGTTGAGATCAAACTGGAAATGGTTGGCTAACTGAAGACTATGATCGACGGCGCTGTATGCTGCTGGACACTTGTCCTGTTCGCGAGTACAAGACACAGGTAGTTAATTGTTAATAAGCAGACATTGCTTCGTGGGATAAACAATGGCGGTGGTGTTCAAAAGAGTAAATGACGAGTTGTTCCAAACAAGCGATCACTCTATCACTCCCTCCCATCCCCTTCATAGACTAGTGTTTTCGAATGTGGCATGCCGCCACATAATGTTGTCGTTTTCACTCAACGGTCCCCAGGTACCGAGGGGCTAAAACAGAACCTTCGACAAAAATGTCGAGAGATACGCGGGATGCCAAATTGTATCATATTCCCAAGATTTCCAGGGGCTGCATCTACAAGGCCGGCTATTCCCAAGTAGGAGAAAGCTACCTAAAAGCAAAGTAAGATCAATCCAGCCCGTTACAATAATCAACAGGAGCAACGTGAATGTGGTCAGAACAAGTTCAGTACATTCTGATATGTCGGTGTATACCACGGTTCAAAGGTCTGATTTGGGACCTCAGGGTCATTGTAACCGATGGTAAAAGAGACACTGACTGAATGGCGCAAACATGAGCGCTCGTGCATCTACTCAATCTCCGTGTAACTCTAGTCTGCCGAAAGTCTGACTAAACAGTAAAAGAAATTATAGATAATATGAGTGCTACTGTAGCAACGTTCAAGGAGCAAACCGTTACTACAATGCGAAGCGAACTTCACTGATCTTTACCAAACTCATATTGCACACAAGAATTTTTATTTTATTTTCACACACGTCTGAATCAAGACTGTGTTAAACAACTCATGGTACAATGACCTCTATACAAAGGAAAGCGTTCCATGATCTGCATGTGGGTGGAATACTGCCAAGTTGCTCAGGCCAAGGCAGGTGAATTTTCTTGAGGGATTCACAACCGGAACCTTTGGCGGTTTCGGATTCTTTTGAACCCCACTCCAGAAGACGAGATACACCAACTTTACCTAATCGCAGTCGCGGTCGTCCACTGAAACAAGTGGTTGATCTCCGTACACTACGGTGGTTGGGACATGTATTGCACATGTCACCAAATAGGTTGTCACAAGGAGAGATGCCTGCCAAGGCAGGAAGTGGTTGGAAAAAGGGCGAGGGCGGTCAAACTAAGACCCTAATCAGGACACTGGGTCATATAGATACCGCTGGGCTCCCTGGATGGAAACCCCGAGATCACGGTTAAAGGAGGTTAGAAACATTGAGTAATATAGCTGTGTCACAAACAGTGGTATACGCGCACCTACTCCATATTTTTGCAGACCCCAATTAATATGAATTCTCTATATCCTCTTTGACTCTGCACAAAACATTCCAATGTTCATTCTGCCCAAATGGGCAGCTATAAGACAGCGACCAAAATCGCCGCACGAAAGTGCATCGTCAATGGTTGTATGAATTAAAACTATAAATCCCAATTCAATTGAATGCGAATGCATAGAACATTTGAAAAAAGAGTAGCAACACAAGATGACATGTAAAAACAAAGACGATAGGGGAGTTGTATGGACAGATGGCAGATTACGCGTGCGTGACAATCAATAACCACAAATCACATTTAACACAATCATGATAAGATTTCTGTTTGAATCAAACTCCAAATGGAGCCAAAGGATAGCATCAGGAAATGCAAATGTTAGTCATGTTTGAAGTGAATGCCCAAGCCGCATAAGAACTAATGTGGAAGGTATGGACCACAAATATGAAACTAACAAACTTCTTCTAGCATGGGGGTTTTTAATTTCTATCTTTTAGTCCACCAGTTCGCTTATAACCTGTTGCCCATGCACAGAAAATCACACATGGAGATTCCATAATCCACTGAATTATTATGCAAGCGTGGAATTTCAGGAGCTGAAACAGACCAATAGGTACTAAGGATGGAATGAAAGGTAAAAAATACTAGGGAAGCCCAAACAGTTGTTTCGTTTAAAACTTGAAATCTGAAATGCTTATGGTTCATCAACAGTTGAGCATGATACATTCTTCCCCAAATACCTCAATTACTTCCTTCATATTCAGCTCACAATTAATTCGATTGAGTAGACGTAGCACGATAAGGAAATCACTGAGATTTATCGGAGCAAAGTCATAGACACCCGCTGGAGTTCCTGCGTAAGTTCTGATGAGCTGCAAAATGACGTATCTGTGTTCCCTATGGGCAATTGTGGCAATATGCACGAAAACAGGAGGTATAAACTGAGAGGGGACACAAAATATAACAAGATAAGTCCTCAGAACTGTTATAAGATTACTGTAATCAGAAAAAAACAACCACAACAATGAAACGAACATAGCACACACCAAAAATGCATACATAGTCACACGTACCCGTTGACTACACCAGACCAGTCTCCGGGTCGGACAGGTGGTCGATGGAAGCAAACCGGTAAGCGGAGCAGGTAAATGAAAAGGATAAGTCCGTCTTACGTTAAATTCGGCCAGATCCGATGCTATTGGATCATCAGTTCCGGTTGTGGACCCGGAGAGCGCCATGGCAACATCGGCGGCACCCGAATGATGCATGACGGGACAGTGTCTCGGAAAAATCAGAGCATTGTTTAGGGATGGTCGTGAATAGTGCTTTGAACAAGACTAAATGAATTTAGACACCGAACTGTCAAACAGCAGCGCCCATTTTCTGTATACACGTTCATAGACGTGAACCGGTCAAGGGATCACCTAAAAAAGAGAATAAGAACGTTTTCTTTATGGGTATGTTCCGAAACATTTCTGGTAAACAAATTGTTGATAATGTAGTCATCACTAATGGGTTTGTTATTTGAAACATAATCAACATTAACAGCTGACTATTACATTCCAGTAATAACAGAGTTGATGTAAAGTGATATGATTCTGTTACTTACCGTACATAGATCAAAGCCGTTCAAAGCATATTGACAGTCAACCGCTCAGGCGTTGTGCCCATCACATGGTCACCTGAATAACCCATTACTCGAGTTTTGTAAGCTGCTGCTACGACAGATTTTCAGTGTTTCAAAAAGCGAAACACACTGCCGAGAGAAAAACAGAATCTAGAAAGATTCTGTGTCTCCGAAACACGCATAGGGGACCCTACTTCGATCACGTCCCTGTGTTCTCCTAATCCAACCTCGACCTCAAACATCGCACTCCGTGGGTCGGGTGTATCGGTATCCAAAGACTGCAGCGCTGATGGTGTTGGGATTGCACTAAATGCAACGGCTAAACGCTGGCTTCTTGACTGGATTCCAGTCACTGGCCGACTGTGCGGCGTACGACTTAACGGGTCGAAAGCTACAGAACCTAACCACCTGCTCTATTACTTCCTC